GCGGAAACCGCTTGTTCCCAACAGGTTAAGGAGGAAATCGTAAATTGTAGGCACCCATTGCCTAATCTCTTTGTGCTTGCGGTGATAATTTTGTAAAGTTATTATACCGATTATTATGGATTGTACTATCAAGAAAATTCAATAGCCGTTTGCGTGCTGGTGTAAGAATGCTACAGAGTGATTGTATCGTATAACCTGTAATTGACCATTGTGGTATTCCATATTGATTGACAGGCAGATAACGAGTTACGTAACCCAGTTCAATAACATGTCTACACCAAACATAAACTGGTTGGGAAAAATACATCAGTTTTGCATGGATTGCTTCAGTATTAAGTATATACCAATTATCAGTTGCCCAGTTCGTATCTTCCAATTTTAGTGCGAGAGATGTTTTAATTGATGAAGACTCGTGTGTCAACCAAGAACAAAACGATACAGTCGACACCGTGTTACTTTTATAATCACTTCTCAATAGTTGTGCACCTAGTAATATGCAAGCATCAAAACCGTAGATTAAACCTGCTTTTAAAAATTGTAGCTGCATGTCTATAATTTTAGTTTTCTCTGCATCACATTCGGATGAGTTTCTTATTACATTGCTAATATTCTGTGCCTTACAGCTTCGGCGAAAGAATATATTTACAATTCCGGATCTCTATTTAGTGTCGAGAATTATAGAATCGCACCCTAACACTATGTAGTCGCTATCAAACGCTAGTATATAGGACACTTTACGTTGAAGATGTAGTGTTAACAATTGTTGTTCCGCCTCCATAGGCGCGACTATATATTCTATCTCTTTATCTCGACACAACAACACTATATGCTCGGCACATTCTATTTTGAAATATGCTACAGCACTTTTGCACGCCTTCACCTTGTCAAATCCATACAGTTTTCTATTTGATGCCAAATATTCTTTGATGGGTGACATCATTTTCCTCTATCTTTTAGGCACTGTTCGTTCACTAACTTATCATCCGTACGAAAACCATCGAATACCATAAATAAATTTAGTGTACCGACACCATACGACTGTAGTCGTTGTAGTGTAGCCCGTATGTCTAATAGAAAAGGCTGATAGTTTCCATCTAACACAATATCCTGAGCATGCGCACGCATATATTGATATGCAAGCATACTCGCATCAATCCCTAGACATCCGAGAATGTGCAACAAGGGAGTTTCACTAACAGAAGCTTCATCAGCGGAAGCAAACCACTCAGTCCCATAATAGTACTACAATGATACCTTTTTGACTGAGCATCTTTTCTATGGCATTCAATGGCGTTCAATGGCGTCTACGGTGATTCAACAAATTTTAGCTGTCTCTTCACAGGCTTGGTCTTTGGACAGCTACACTTGCCACCACAACCAGGATTAGGGTTGTACTTCACACAACAGTTCTAGCGATGCCTTGTATACATTGATATGTTAGTTGTAGTGTTAGCATCGTCACTGAAGACTCTCCATAGACTACGCCACTTTGTATCACCAATGTCACAGAAATACCATTCGGACGCGTCTACCCAACTGTTACATTGATAACATGGATGATCTTTAGAATAGTATACAGTATTAGAATTCATAACTAGTGTAATAGGTCTTAAAAGCGCAGGTGTATTGGTTCATACATCCGAAATTCACACATGGCTTTTTACTACGATTTACAGTCAAGTTACACTACAATCCGGCGATAAGAAAATATTAAAAAGTTCGGTACTTAGTATATTTTGAGTCACAAATGTAATGACAACCATGATTACCTTCGATTTAAAACAATGTTGGTGTTGTAAGTACCGAACTGTTCGGTAATGTTCCTGGGCGTTAATAAGAGTGCGAGAACTTCTAAGTGTGGGCGATAACTGATAAGTGTGAAAACTAATAAGTTTGAAAAGTTCTAAGTTGTATTGTGCGGTTTGTTGGCGAACGGCCGCGCAGGCTCGAAAGAAGAGGAGGTTGGTGTATGATTGGTGTTTTGCGAACCGAAGTGCGGGGTAATATGAGCTGGAGGTTGGCAGATGACGATATATGTTGAATGGACTTGTAGGCTCGAAATTGACAAGATACACGATTTGATTGGCGGCCGGATTCTCAATGAAATCCTTCTGTATTCAACAATCGAGGAAATAAATCCAAGTTCACCGTTACATTGTGTTTTGAGTCGATCTAAGATTACAAATAAACGTTAGTGGAAAATGGTTTACGAGAAGGATAGTGCAGCTGGGACTGGGCAACCTCTCTGGAGATATGTGAGAGGGGAGCCGATGACGACACTTATGGATCGATGGGATTATGTCAGGGGTACCAAGGCTTATGAGCTCAAGGCGAAGAAAGGAGGGTCCC